AAAGAATATTATGGTAGTAAAAACATGATATTCAATAAAATAAAAAAAATCTCGTATATTTTACCGATTCTTTAACCCTTTTAAAATGTTTTATAAGGAAATCCCAATGTTTCCTATCTTTTATTACACTTGAAACAAAAGTTTGTAAGTAAAATTAACTGCTTATCTCACAAAAACCCATATCAAGAAGGCGTATCCCAAGTTTTAATCCTAAACGGGGGATCTATAACGTCTCAAGGCGCTTTGGGCTCCAATTATCCACGGTCCAATTTTATAAACATTGAAGACACAAGCGCAAGCGAGCGCGATTATTATTACCGGTATACATTAATGACTTACACAAAATCCTAAGGCTTCTTCTTCTAACTTTTTTATTACGATATGATAGCCCTTATAAAACAGAGCTTCTTGTGAAAAAGTTCGTCCTGGGAAGTACTGCCACCTTACTATTTCTGCCGCCAAGCAGTAATTACTTCATTCCGCTTTTGAGGCGTAAGGGTACTGGTGAAATTACAAGCATATTGGACTTGTCCACTTATGTCTCAGGGTGACGGGCGCAGTGGTTTTTACGATTAAAAGCTCTCAGTGGCACTGACAGGCGTGTGGCTTTCCACCAGAGGCACGACTTGTTCGTCTCGTGCATGCAAAAAAACATGCAAGGTTCATCACAATGTTTTCAGTCACCTCTACAGAAAGATATTATTACTAAACAATGAGAAACGCATACATCTACTAACCCTAATATAAAAAAAAATTAACCTATTTCTACCGCCACGTGTGAGCATTACTGCGTTTCGGTTTTGAAGGGTAAGGATGTTGGTGAAATTACAAGCACAAGGGACTTGTCAACTTATGACTCAGGGTAACGGGGGCAGTGGAAGTGCCCAACCGATCTTTGTGACTTAAAGCTTTGAATGGCACTGTAAGTATTATGGACAGGGGTGTCAGTTACCACCAGATGCACCAGTGATTCGTCACTTGCTATCATAAAAATGTATACCACTCTTTTAAATCAAACAAAAATTAGATACAATAAAATATCGTTATAATAAAAAGTCGTTGAAAGACCAAATACAAAGACACGACGCAAGCACATAGAAGAATTCGTGAGGTCCGTTGGTTCGTTCCGTGGCTTAGTTGGTATAGCGTCTGGCACGGTATGCAAGAATCCGACCGGATCGAAGGAATTTTTTCTGAGTGTTTTTTCTGAGTGTTCGATCTTTGTATTAATAATTATAACAAACTAGTGAAGTAATTTCACAAAAAATAATTTAATATCAATTCAATAAAAATTTAATTAATACAATAAAATATACTTATAAAAATGCATCACCGATGTATGTCAGTTAATTTTTTTTTATATTTCCGGTATCTATCGATCCCGCTGTCTCCGGTAACTTGAACCTCATGTCAAAAGTGGCGGTACGCGTATTCATATTTAATCTTTAACTAAGCCGATTTTCATTTCGGTATCCCCTTAACTCTAGCAATTGTTGCGCTGTCAACAAAAGGATTAACATTAACTATGATATAAAGGTTACAGTTACCGCTTTAATTTATTAATGGGTACCATTTACGCTTAGTTAGACACAATATTTTACTTAGCTATTTCCTTCTTAAACTGAAAAAATATCTGATTTTTCTTTTGGAGTTTAATCAATCGTTACTTCTTGACTAAATTTTTATTCATTCGTTCATTATATAACATATTGTAACACTGTGCAAATACATTTAACATTACAGATATACATCTAAATTGATTGTCAAATCACAATTCATAATGAATTACTAAATACAAAAATTACAAGAATATACACATTGTAATAAAAAATTAAAACAATAGAATTAATTAGAATATTTTTTGATTCATTACTTACAATTGTTGTTTTTCATTATTATTTTCTACTCTGTCTGTTAAATATAAAATGGAAAATCAATTTTTCAAATTTTAATAATAATAACAAATAAAAGTAACATATGACACTTTAGATGCTTTAGGGGGTAGGTTTTTTATTTATTACATGTTCGCAAATTCTATCAAATAAAAAACAATTAGAAAGACGCTGAAACCCTTATAATGCAACAAATAAAATTAAATAAGTAATGGTGAAATGTATAGGGATACGACTATGCAAAAAAAGAAATCCATTATAATAACTACGTTATTAAATGTTTTTTTGTTCCTATCAATGACGATTCTTAAGTTCATACCTATGAAGAACATTTACAAATCAAATAAAATTCAGTAACAAATTACTTAGGTTCTTATAGAAATAAGGCGGAAGCTCCGAGCCGCAAACCGCTAACCAAATAGAATTCGGTTTTAGTTTGTCTCGTAAAAATAAATCAGACTTTAAACTCAGCCGTAGGTAATCCCGTTTTCCATTAACTTTCGTAAAGAAACATTCTTTTACCGTAAGAAACATCTGTATATTAAATCTTTATGACAAGATGCAAGTTTATACAAAATAAGAGATTATTAATAACAAAATTTCAATTACTTTCTTTAACCTCTGATCTGAGTCTCTTTTAGACCTCGCGGTCGGTCACCTAGCCGATGGAGTGACCAAGTGACCGCCCTCACTGGCCTCCCTACAACAATTGCCCTCCGAGAGGCCGAAGACAGAACAAACAAAAAAAAAATATTCAGGAAGGTTGCTGGTGAAATTACAGGCACATGGGACTTGTCAACTTATGTCTCAGGGTGTCGGGCGCAGTGGCAGTGCCTGCAACTGCTATGGATAGGCGTGTCACTTATCACCAGGCGCACGATTTGTTCATATCGTCACTTAAGAAAAGTCAACAAAAAATCTTCCGCGGACAAACTCTTTCACCGATCTACTGCTACAAAAATCCTTCTAAACACATCTCAGCCTTTCAGATCTATTCGAATGTCAATAAAGACCCAATAGGTGACAAATTTGCTGAACTTTAAAAAAATTTCCTCAAAACATGTCTAACGCTAAAGCTGTATTATGCTTGTTTTTAAACTTTTAAAACCGCTTTATATCAATTCATCTTGATACAAAGTATTTATGTACAGTTCGTTTTCCGTTTTCTGTTCATTTTTTTGTACCCAACTCATTGCATAAGGCTTTTATTCCAATTTCCTTATTGTTCCTCTTTTTTAATCAACCTCTTAATATACCAGGGTTGCTTATGTGGCGCTTATCGTATTTCTTTCTTGTGCCTTAGATTGATTTACAACCGTACCTCGTACCGGGGTATTCGGGCGTTATCTTCTAATTAAGTAGGACTTTGACCGTAAGCCTTGTTTTACCCGGCTGAGATCAACCCGGCTAGAATGTTGGAACAGTTATTTTTGAAAATTCAAATAGTATTCCGAAATAATATCACATTATGAAATTGTAACGATATAAGTAAATCCAGTAGTAGGTTAGTAGTAGGTTTTCAGAAAGTGGTTACACTGTGTAAATTAAACATTACTAGCAGTAGAGCTCCTTGTGAAAGCTGCAACATTATCTATATTTCTGCCGCCAAGCAGTAATGTCCGCATTACTGTGTTCCGGTTTTGAAGGGTAAGGGTGCAGAAATTACAGGAACATGGGACTTGCCAACTTATGTCTCTGGGTGGCGGGCGCGGTGGCAGTGCCCCTCAGATCTTGCGATTTAAAGCTCTGAGTGGCACTGCAACTGTTATGGATAGGCGTGTGGCTTGCCATCGGGCGCAGGACTTGTTCGTCCCGTCATTTAATCATATATAACAAAAAAAATCTTTTTCCGGATCTAAATTTGTGTACCTTTATTTTTTTTCAAACAAACAATATTTTCTAGATTTGTAGCTTTTGGGGCTTGGTCACATAGTCACGACAGCTCCTTGTGAAAGAGTTCGCCCAGGGAAGTACTACCACCTTATTTATTTCAGCCGCTAATCAGTCATGTCAGCTTGTGAAATCATTGGAACATGAGACTTGTCAAATTAATGCCTCAGGGTCGTACTCCAGAACTCTACTCATTGCCCAAGTCAGGACTTGAGTATGATTTAAAGCACTGAAAATCATATTCAAGTCCTTGCCATTAGGGTCGTATTTCCAGTGCTTGAAATCATACTCAAGTCTGCTCAAGTCCTGACTTGAGCATTGAGTAGAGTTCTGGAATACGGTCCTAAGAGTGACAGGCGCAATGGCTGAGTGACACTGCAACTGTTATGTGTAGGCTTGTCACTTAGCACTAGACGCACGACATATTCATCCCATGATATTTTAAAAAGTAAAACCTTTCTCATTATTTGATATATTTGGCGTATTTTACGATAATAACGGCAGACTTGAAAAAGTTCTAAGAGAGATGGCACAGTATGAGAATAAATCTTCAAAAGTTTCATTGAAAACGAAAAACTTTAACACACGCAACTCAGAGCCAGCCATTAAAATAAAAAATTGCAAAAGATTTACAAGTACCCTTACTCCGATCGTTCTTCTCTGAACGATATTGCCAAGATTGAAATAGCTAATGTTACATATAAAATCGAAATTAGTTATTCAGGGTTGTAAACTCACTTTGTTTCATCAGATATCTACTTTAATGTCTAAGTGAGCCATCGCAGTTTCAGCGAGAGCTTCTTGTTTACTCGTGTTTCAAGCTTTATTGCTCTGTTTATTGATATTAATTTGTGTTTATGTATTTCACTACAATGGGAGAGTGTTATTAAATATCAGACTAGTAAAACAAAGAACATTAGCTCTGTAATACACTTAAGATCTTACAAAACATAATTACTAACGTAAATGTTACAATTAAGAGCGGTAGCGACGTTGAAGCAAGAGACGCTGGTTCCAGTCCAGTCGATATTTGATATAATAATATCAAACTAATGGAGGATTTTCATAAAAAACATTAATATAATAAATTAATATTGTAATGTAATCGCTCCTAAATATCGGGAAAATAATATAGTTTCAAATATTGACTTTATGACCAGTTGTTTAAAAATTGTGGTAATTTTTGTTGTACTAATTAATTTTTTCACTTGTCCGCAGGGGTGGTGTTAGCCTAAGATGGTGCTGGCGCTTGTGGTTGGAGTCCTGTGCGTGTGGGGCCGCTTGAGCGTCGCAAACCCTGAAGCGAAGCGGCTGTACGACGACCTCCTCTCTAACTACAACCGCCTGATCCGACCAGTCGGTAATAACTCAGATCGGCTCACCGTCAAGATGGGGCTACGGCTTAGTCAGCTCATCGACGTTGTAAGTACCTTCCTTATACTTCCACTAAATCTAGGACAAAACTTTATTGTCCCATCAACGTCTATGTGTGAATTTTTATAACTCTGTGCCAGTCATGAAGAAATTGCATTTGACTTTAAGAGTACATTTTAATGTATCTTTACGTCGTAATCAAATCAATGTAGCTGTACTGAAGTTTCCATTGTGGCATCTTTTATTCTGCGGACGACACTTAAACCTGAAATTTTACTTAATCATAATGACTCTGAAATATTGGTTATAGTCGTACTTTTTGTACTTTTGCCCATAACAACTATTACGACATCTATTCGTTAATTAGTTAATTTTCGTTGAACTCACAATAATCTCAACAGACGATTCTTGGAACATGTCTGCCAAGATTTCTCGATTGCCATTTAGTTCTCCTTGATTAGGGAGTAGTGATGAAAGAGACTCAGTCTTTTAAGGCATTTTATAACGACTCGACTCCATCTTACAGGACTCGACTATAAAATTAAGACTGGGGGTTCGAGTTTTTATTAATAAGACTTAATCGTTATACTAAAAGACTGAAACGACTTGAACGAGTTGAAAGACTTCAACGACTCGAGTTGTTTGCAAAGGACATACCTATTTTATGGATTATTAAACCCGAAGTTTATAAATAAAAATGACGTAAGTAGTATGTAGTAAATAATCACGTTTATATACTTGTAATAAAAAGCGTAAAATAAATAAATACCTTGTGGGTAGAAATAAAATCACGCCATACGGCTCATAACTCGCGACTCCCGAGGCTATGAGGCGCCAGTCGTTTTAGTCTTTTTAGTCGTTTTAGTCCTATGAGCTTAGAATAATAACGCATAGAAACCCAGTCCGCACACGCTAAGTGAGGCAAATTGAAGCGCTCCCAAAGGGCCTACACGAGCGCGCGGGCCGTCAGTGCTCAAGGTCAACTTGCACCGCGAACAGCTCAAGAATTTTAGCTAAAAATGACGAAATGTGATGGTAAATGAGTGTAAAAATACGTCAGACAAACATAAAATAGATACTGACATCACATTCCACAAGGAAGTAACGCGTTTCAACTTGTATTTTTATATAAATATTCACTAAAACCGAAAATTAACCTACTACTAAAACTAGCCTACATGAATTTGATTTTTGCCTCACTTGTGACAGTTCGTTTGATATGAAACTATCATTCTATGCGTTATTATTGTAAACCTATAAGTCTTTTAAGCTTCATAGGGTTAAAAGACTTCGACTCGAATTAGTCTTCAGTTTTAGTCTTATGACTCAAGACTTGAGGATTAAAAGACCAGACCAATCGTGAGGCGTTAAAAATTAGTCGAGGTTTTTTAAAAGGCCTTAAAAGACTAAGTCTCTTCATCACTATTAGGGAGTCACCATACTTATTACCGTGGGATCAAGTTGCGCGTTCTGGTTGCTCTCGAGCCACCTTGATTGTCAACTCTATCAGCTGTCATGCCGTAGTTCACTCCTATCATACACACCACATTTTTCGCGCAAGCAGATAATTTGGTTAGGTCGTTGATTCAATGGTGAAGTACTTGTAATATTTACGTAAACTTAAACAGAGTGAATAATTTTATGTTAACTCAACGAAATAATCCTTCAAACTTTGAAAATACGTTCCGTACGTTCACCAACTAGACTACCAACTCAATTTAAATTTTTCATCGCAACTTTAAATACTGAAAGTCAAAAACCAAGAATACTATTATTCCTCTGTCATAAATAATTGTAAATTTTTAACAACTTTACTCGAAATTATTTTTGTAACTATTACTATATAAGGTTTAGCGGCCGAGCTGCTGCACAAACGTTCCAGTTTAGAAGGTTTATGTCAATTAAATTTTTATTGAATTGATATTCAATTATTTTTTTGTGAAATTACTCCACTAGTTTGTTATAATTATTAATACAAAGATCGAACACTCAGAAAAAATTCCCTCGATCCGGTCGGATTCGAACCGACGTCTTCTTGCATACCGTGCCAGACGCTATACCAACTAAGCCACGGAACGAACCAACGGACCTCACGAATTTTTCTATGTGCTTGCGTCGTGTCTTTGTACTTGGTCTTTCAACGACTTTTTAGTCGTAGCGCCATCTATGAGAAATCTTTAACAGATTTATCACCCAGTTAGTACCCTTACAGCTACCAGTCCTGGCGAGAGATGTCGCGTGTAAAGAATACAGTCGAGTCCATATCAGTTATTTACAAATCGGATCGAAATTAGTTACCGTACAACGGAACAGAAATTACTTCTTGCACTTTAGCTTAAATACAACAGACGTCAAAAGTCTAGAGCTAATCGAAAAGCCAATCTGTTAATGAATGCGTCGTGTCAAAACTCGACAACGCATAAACGGAATAGAACTTTATTTCTATATCAGCCTGCAGTTGGAATTGAAACCGAATGTCCCAACGGCTCAGTTAAATGAGTTCTGGCCAATACAAAGCGTCATTGTTGGAAAGTTAAACCGATTTCAACGGTCGATCGGTTGATATTGGCAGCGGAATTAGATTTGCGTTTATACATATTTCATGTTTATCCTGTAATCGTATTTTATATCCTGGTCTGCTTGAGAATGTATTTTGTAAAGGTTTCTGTTATTTTCGTACAAGGATGTTTTTTTCTCGAACTCTTTGCTTCGAGAATAATAACTGATTCTGTTTTATATGAAAATTCGCATCTCACAATTCACCGATTTTTTTTATGATACGAAGTCACGGGACAAACAAATCGTAAGCCTGAAGGTGAGCGACGCGCCTGTTCGTAATAGTTGCAGAGGTTTAAATCGTAAAAATCTGAGGGGCGCTGCCACTACGCTCGTCCAAGTCCAAGACATAGTTGAAAACTCCCGAAACCAAAACGCAGTAACGTCACGTTACTGCTTGGCGGCAGAAATAGATAGTGGTGGCAGTACTTCCCTGGACGAACTCTTTCATAAGGAATTCTACTGCTACGAAGTAAACAATTTTTTTGGAACTACATCAACAAATAAGTAACTACGTAACTACTAAGTAACTACATCAACAAACATAAACAGTAGTGTAATGAAATTTAAAATATTATTACTTTTTACAAGTTGACGTAGCTAACGTATAACGATGTTAGGTTAGGTTAGCTTTAGACTAAAAATAAACCCCTTAACCATTTTTAATGAAAGGATTTAGCGATATAACGTTGGTATAAGCTACCCGGATTAAAACACTATTCGGGGTAGCACGTGACAGCAATAGAAATGAAATTATATACATTATAAAATAAGATAATAAATGTATTTTACGTGACTTGAATACGAAATTGATCGAACACTCAAATAATTATTATGAATTCTATTTATGAAATCAATATTCAATGTTTAAACTTACCAACGTAGACTAGTTAGCATATAAAAATGTAAAGCATATATTGCCACTACCAGAGAAATACTTATAAGTGTATGTAAAGGGTCCGAAGCGATGATTTCTTCAAATTAACAAAATTAAATATAAGCGATTTAGATTAAAAAAATATTCTCACATCCAATAGAAAACATATTCTGTAGTAACTTTTGTTATATCTTTACTATATTCGAGAATTGTCACGCTTACAAGCTCTATTTTCATTCTCTATAATAATTACACTCTGGCGTCAAATAATCGTTCAGAAAATGCCAACAGTGACATAGAATCAAGTTCCCTGAAATGTTAGCACAATGTCTCAATATCACGAGCATGAATTACACGCCTTACGAGTTTAATTGTCGAACTTTAAATATTAGCAATGCGTTTTATATAGTAGATCACAACGTTATAACTATTTGCTACTGTAATAATTTTAATGTGATTGTGTTTTAAATTGCTACGTAACACGTAGCTGAACTTTGGTAAACATTAACACGCTCTGCCTTTTACGTGTGTTTATATAGGAATCTTTATCTAAAGAACTTATGATAAGAGTGCCGCAGGGGCAAGTATTAGGTCCAATATTTTTCCGCTTTAAAAAGCACAAAAATCTAAAACCATTTTTCATATGGTCACAAGCAATCAGAAAATTGAAATATTTTCTCGAAAATTGGAAGCCTTAAATCCGATTCGATTTTTCCAAAAAACAAAGCTATCTGTAATAAATGGGGAAGCGAAGTATTTCGAAGTCAATATGAAACAACATACTAGAGACATAACAACGTGATAAACTATTGGCCGCCTTTAAATTTGAGACTCGATGTACAGTCGTATTTCCATCCCCGTAAGGTTACGATTGGAACATAAAGAAATTCCTTCGAGAGTCACATCGAACAAAGCATGTTTTTATCATTTCCATTCTGTTATGTAAATAAATTAATATACAACGATACTCTTTTTCTCTCAAATATATCTCAAATATATATCTATAATATACCTCAACGTGTGAAAATAAGTTAACACTATTCTGAATTGAGGATAGAGTATTTTTCTAACAAGATCTTTAAAAAATTTCTTCACGTGGATTTTGTCATCATATTGATATTTTATTTAATTAGCATTTGTTGAAAATAATAAAGAATAAAATTGAGGTACCTACTTCCTGAATAAAAACCCATAATATATTATGTTTTTATAAATTAATTAATGTCAAATCGAGTTCTCACGATTTTCACGATTGTTACACATAGGAAATGAAACTATTTTTCAGGATTTAAATCACGTATATTTGTTTTTTCAAACAAACCGACGTTTCGGGCTCATTACAGGTCCCATGGTCACGGTTGACGGTTGTCTTGTTTGAAAAAGCAAATATACACGATTTAAATCCGGAAAAATAGTTTCATTTCCTATAATTAATGTCAGGTTTTTTTTGTTTAATGGTCTTGGCTATTTAGAGATTTTTTTACTAATTTCTCCAAGCTGTTGTTAAATATTTTTTGAATAGAGATATTATCACTCGTATTTACTTTTCCATAAACATATATAATTACAATTTATTAGATAATTAAATTATATTATATTGTACGTAATAACTGAA